TTTTCAAGAAAATACTGGACAGCCATCTGTCCGGGATGACATGAGGTCCGGGATGGTATGAGGTCCAGAATGGTATGAGGTCTCCTGCCTTGGGCAGGGGGTTGGACTAGAAGACCTCCAAGGTCCCTTCTAACCCTACAATGATTCTATGATACGATTCTGTGATATGATTCTACAAGTCTCTAAGGTGCTGCAAGACTCTGTCAGTATAACGTAAAACACCGAGAGCACAAAAAGTTCTTCCATTACATATTAGTAGCCATTACATAGTACTTTTGCAATAAAAAGTACATCGTCAAGAATTGGTAATATTTAGTATTTAGGAGTTCAACATACGTTTACATACCATTCTATGTGAATGATGGGACCATCCCCATGAACCTGTTAAATGAGACTTTGGAGCTCATGGGACCCTGCACACAGAAGCTTTTGTCATGCTCTGCATCCCATCTCATATATAACTGCACAGGCAGGGGCTATAAAGTAAGATCTTACTGAACAATCTTAATCAGACTCTGGAAAAACAAACAACCATAATTCAAATCTATGCTCCAAGTATTCAAAGTACTAATGCTGTACTATGCTCCAAGTACTAATGCTGAGGAAGATGGAATTGAAAGTTTTAATGCAAATGTCCAAGAAGAAATTAATCACACACCAAAACACCATAAGCTTATAGATGCCTTGAATGCAAAAGTTGGGAACAAAACAGAACCAAATATTGTTGGAAAATTTGGCTTAGGAAACAGAAGCAGGACAATGACTCACTAGTGTTCCTTAAGCCAACTATATTTTTCTTACAAACACAAGCTTCAAACAACTAGACAGAAGGATTTACATATGGACATCACCAGATGGTCAATACAGAAACCAAGTAGACTATATAATTAGAAGCAGGACATAGAGAAGCTGTCTTATGTCAGCAAATGTCCAAGAAGAAATTAATCGCACACCAAAACACCATAAGCTTATAGATGCCTTGAATGCAAAAGTTGGGAACAAAACAGAACCAAATATTGTTGGAAAATTTGGCTTAGGAAACAGAAGCAGGACAGTGACTCACTACTGTTCCTTAAGCCAACTATATTTTTGTTACAAACACAAGCTTCCAACAACTGAACAGAAGGCTATACATATGGACATCACCAGATGGTCAGTACAGAAACCAAGTAGACTATGTAATTAGAAGCAGGACATAGAGAAGCTGTCTTATGTCAGCCAAAACAAGATCAGGAGTGGATTGTGGTTCCAATCACGAACTGTTAAAATCCAACATTAAAGCTGAAAAGGAACATTAAAAGAACTGTAGTACAAAATTTTAATCTAAACAACATTCCTGGTGAATTTAAAATTCACATAAAGAACATACTTGCTCTGCTAAACTCAACTGACTGTGAACCAGAAGAACTGTGGATTGAAACCAGAGATATTATCAGAGAAGAAAGCACAAATACAATTCCTTTGGTAAAAAGGAAAGAAAAACCTAGACGGATGATGGAAGAAACAATTAAAATTGCAAAGGACAGATGAGAAGCAAAAGTAAAAGACAGAAGCCGGGCCAGAACTCTAAATGCAGTTTTTCAGTGACTATGTATTCTCAAAGGCTTTCATGGCCCGGAACCAGAAGAACTGTGGATTGAAACCAGAGATATTATCAGAGAAGAAAGCACAAATACAATTCCTTTGGTAAAAAGAAAAGAAAAACCTAGACGGATGATGGAAGAAACAATTTGTAGTTGTGGGATCAGTTTTTTGTCCTTTTCGGGAGATTGGATGATAATGGTGATCAGGGTGTTTTTTGTTTATGGGTATATGTTGTGATAAGGGGGGGGAGATGATCTGTCACTGTGATTGGTGGGTGTTGTTCACTAGTCTTTTGTGTGCAGTGTCCTTGTGGCTGGGTAGAGCTTGTTGACCTTTTCGTAGACAGTATTCTTCAGTGCTGGGAGCCAAGCTTTGTTGAGTTTTAGACTTTCTTCTTTTTTGTTGAAGCTTTGCCGATGTTTGTGGAAGCCATAGGAAAAAAATGATTTGCTTGAAGGAAAGTTTTTGGGATACCCTGGATTGCCAGGAAGATAAATAAGTGGGTCCTGGATCGAATCAAGCCTGAACTACCCCTGGAGGCAAAAATATTGAAACTGAGGCTGTTTTATTTGGGGCATGTCATGAGAAAAAAAAGGATTCTCTGGAAAAGACATTAATGCTGGGAAACGCTGAAAGCAGCAGGAAAAGAGGAACAAATATGAGATGGACTGACTCCCTAAAAGATACCACAGGCTTTTGTCTGCATGAGCTGAGCAGGGTGGCTGAGGACGGGACATTTTGGAGAGCGCTCATTCACAGGGTTGCCATGAGTTGGAGGTGACTTGATGCCAAATAACAGCAACATCTCATACATATCAATACTGAGCACTGGTGCCAAGCTGCTGTCTCTCTGATGCACTTTGATTGTGCAGAGCTGGGAACACCCAACACTAAACCTGCATAACTGAGGACCTGAACAATAATCTGGATGGGAATCTACTGGGAACTCCGTATTAGAGGGAACAGCTTTAAATGGTTTTCAAAAAAGAACAGAAAATCCATGAGCGAGGAGGAACAGTGAATGGTCTAAAAGCAGCTCATGCTGCAATATCCTCAAGCCAAGCAGGTGCAGACCTAATCAGTTTCTTGGATGGGAAACCACTGGGTGCTTAACGCAAATTTAATGGGTACTGTAATGCACTCAGTATGGGGCTGTCTAAGTGTTTCAGAGCTTTGATTGATCCCAAGTGCCTTATCCAGACTGTTTACCAGGTGAATTACGGGGCATGTATGGCTCCCTTGTTTCAACAGCATTACCAATACAAGTTTGTTTTCAGGCACAGTTCGAAGTGCTGGTTATGTTCTCTGAAATCTTTTATGAATAGGGAATAATGCTGTTGCAAAAACTGCCTTTCTTCCTTATGAGCCTGTCTGGATTCTAGGCTTTCCAGAGGAGGCATCTCACAGCATCTGGAGCTTAATGGTTGGAATACAAGAGGGAGGCTATTCTGTGGCTACTCCTACGCTGTGGAACTCTCTGATGAGGATGATTAGGTTAACTTCTCTCTTTCTCTCTGTTCTTCTAGCGCTGGTAGGCAAAGACATTTTCTATCCTGGAAGACTGCTGCCACATAAGATGAAGGGATTTTATCAGTTGGAGTGCTCACTACGACTTCTTTTGTTTGTTTTTTAATGGTGTTTGAATAAGTTTGTCTTTATGTCCCATTTTAACCTTTTTATATTTTGGTTATGTTTTACTTTTGTTAGGCACCTTGAGCACCCTTTCTGATGCAAAGGTGTAATAGAGGTTTAATAAATAAATGCAGCTTGTATATCATGGAGATTAAGTCAATCAATAACTATATTCCATCTTAAGTTACACAGAACCTCTATGTTCAGTTAATCAGAAAATGACATGCTAGGGACAAGTAAGGGAGCTCCACTTCATATGACTTCCCAAAAACATCTGAATATGAGTAGAACTGTTTTGCAAAAAGTTAAGAGAGACTTGGCTAGCCAAGGAGAGAGCATTATTGGCAATGTCACCGGTGAGAAAGACTTGGGTTCTCTGGTTGTATGGTATACCTTAAATTCAGGGTTGACTCATAAGAGGCCTCTTTGGATGATCTCAAATCATGGAGTGGAATATATGGAAGAAAGCAGTGCATCAGACAGATAATACTTACCTCCAGTTTCTGGTTTAAACTGCTCAGCTGAAAAGGCGCGTCTTTGTTTTCTGTACATTTCTCCATACCACGAGATTTATTTTGTTTTAATTGGTGCAGCTGTAGCTTTTCATAGCTTTGTGTCAGCTTGGCAAACTGCAAATGAAATGAATGGCAGGAATGTCTTATTTTTTCCTTATCACCAAAGACATACTTAGCAAAGGCAGTTCATCTTAAATATTCTAATTAGTTAGTTTCTGATTTAAAAACAAAATAAAACTCACATCAGTTATTACAACTAAATTGTTAAGGAGGAACAAGACTGAGCTTCCATATAGTTTATGGTGTTAATTAATAGCACTGTTAATTACATATTGACTTGATACTTTTGCTGTGCTGCTGTGCACAAGGATTCCTTCTTCAATGCTTGTACGAATTGTTTGGCATTTATTTAGTGCCATCTTGTGTTGACAGTTTTAATGGTTCTGGATTAACTAGTGTGATAGAGTTGAAACAGTGTGGGATATGTAGTCCGAGAAATGTAAGATGAAGTCAGACAGGTTCTGTGTGGAGATGATTTGAGAGATATTGGAATGTGTTTTTTCTAAGTGCTATGAGAGTGTTTTTCTGAAGACTGGTAAAGTGTGGTTCGAGATAAAGTTGAAGGTCGGGAAAAGAGGCCTGTGAAAGACTCAACATTCCGAGCTAATTGGAGAAGAGATAAAACACCTGGATCTTTACGGGAATTGAGGGTGGAGGAAGGTGTTCCAGCCTCTTGAGGTTAATTGGTTAACAGTCATGAAGTATCAAGAAGAAGGGAGGAGTTAGACAATGTCGAAAATGGATGATGATGGTTAACAGTCATGTTTGATTCCATGATGATAAATTCCATGATGATAAAAAGAACTTGATGGTTTGAGTATCTGGCTTGAAGGAGAAAGAATGTAAGTAAAAAGAAAGAAGGAGGCGCAGCTAGCCCACCGTAGCCCAGCTTAGTAATGTTTTTTATTTTAATGGGGATTAGTTATTTTATTTAACTGTAATAATCTTTGAGTATGTTCTCTATGCAAAAGCTTGAGCAATATAAACTGATTCCATGAAACTCTATTGTTCTAAGAAAAAATAATTATAAAAAGTCTTACAAAAGTTCTGGTCCCTTGTAC